ACACCAGTAAGTTAGTGGCAACTTAATAAACATCAAATGCCCCAGAAATATGTCATGAAAGAGTTGATTACTATAACCCATATTTCTGTAAGAGTTCAGATTGCCAGGGACGTTTGCGTTCTGGAAAGTAATCTGGAATGTGGATTTTTTTAAAATCTTGGATACATTTTCTCATTTCTTCCTCAACACTCAGCTTCTCGCATACCTTCTTTTTGGAAAGATTTGTTTCTCTGGACTTGCTAATGAGAGTTTGAAAGAGTTCACTGTTCCTGCGTTTGTCCGGTGGTGGCATCCACTGCACTGGGGCCTTCTTAGATGGACGATCCAAAGTCAGAGTATTTGGTTGGTGGGCTGTGGATGGCTGAGTGCTGGTGGCATTTTCTTGAGGGGTGCTGGCTTCTGAGTGGCTGTCACAGCTTGAGGTGGACAATTCATTACAGGAAGTCCCGCTTTCACTGCCCTTGTCCAAGACTTTGTCGTGCTTCCTTTCTTCGTGGTCTTGTTTGGGTGAAATTGTTCGCTGGGGGGGTCCTAATACAAGGCAGGAAAGAAAAAGTATTAAGCAAGCACTGGTTTACACAGAAAACTGATCAGCTACCATTTAGAAAAATGGAACTCAGAGTCTCGTCTGGGATAAATTGATGATGTTTCCTTTCAGTCAAAAGAACTATACCAGACTGGTACACAGTTTGAAGGTCTGGTCCTACACATATGTTCAGCTGTCAAAATTCTGACCCCTGAAAATGTTTATGTCGAGAATAACTTCATGGCCTGCCTAAGAATCCAGGTAATGAAATGTGCATAATGCACACATATTATCTGCACTGGAAATCCCTACAGGCAAGTTTAAATGAGCTAGTTTGTTATTGCACCCCAAGAAGTTTATTATGAGAAATCAGATTTTGTAGTATTATGAAAATACTACCATACAATTTGCAGACTCTTTGCTTAAATGAAAATATTCCAAGGCCTTAGAATTTTTTTTTAAACTCTTAACTCACCTTCCCAGAACAGTCTACTGATATTATGCTCTGCAGATGTCAATTCTGCAGAAGCCCTGGACAGAAAAAGGAGTATTAATCCTAGAATAACAGAGAGATCGCTCACTACTGACAGAGTCTTTAGGCTTTTTTCTTTTTTTTTAACTTATAGTGATTTCACAGCACTTCTTACTGTCAGTTATTATCCCAGACTTGCCTCACTGCAAGCTCAGAATTCAGTTGTACACCTCTTACTGCACAAGCTGGCAGGGAAAACAAGGTTATGAAGTTATTGGTAAAGAGGCACTCTGCAATGGCCGGGAGAGCCATCTGATGGCCTATCAGCAGGCACTGCTCAGCGCTTCACACACCTGAAAATCAGATCTAGGCTGTTATTCTCTTCAGGTATCACTTTTGCTTTGAAGTCTTAAGCAGAATATGAATGTGAAAATTAGGCTGTAGCTGCTAAATCTGTACAAGAGTTTTCATTTCTGAAACCCTATTTCAAAACTCCAGCTGTGAAGTGAAATGATGCTACACCGGCATCACATAAACGTCACAGTCTTAATTTAGGACACTATCTAAAGCTCACAGAAATATCTACAGAGCTCAAGAGGCATTGGATCAGACCAAAAGGAAAAATCTGAAAGATGTTTAAACATCTAAATGAAAAATAAGATTGGGACTTCAGTGGCAGTTGTGTGTCTGCTATGAATCCTGGAAGAGTCCAAACAGTTTAGGTACCTAAATATCTTAGAAAAACTAGATTCTCCTTACAGTTTACCAAAAACACCACCAGCATCAGCTAACCACCTTTGCTAGTACCAAAACTCAGGGTATGACAGCTCAACCTTGAGTTACTGGGACAGAGTTGTAAGGAGATTTTTGAGTCACTTAGTATTCTGTTTTTCACCATTACAACTTAGAAATATAATTACAATTATAAAGAATGCAGGAGCAATATGAACACTCTACTGTCTTTTTGACAGTGCAGTTCTATGATTCAAAGGAATCGAAGAAGATTGCAGTATTTCATATGAGACACAGGGGAAAACAAAACAAAACAAAACACAAAAGCAAATAAATAATAATCTAACAACAGCAGCATTCAACAACCTGCTTTGCTTTTGTTTTAGCTGGCATCCGAGGATGAAGTGTCATGTTTCTGTAGTCCACCTAGAGAAACCCATGAATAATCAAGATCCAAAGAAGAGAGACAACAATCCATTAGGGCTTGTACTTGCATTATTCAGAGTGAAAAACACAAGTGATTTTCTAATTCATTATATTCACCTCAAATACTTGGCATATGGCTGCAGCAATTTCCTTCCTCTTTCTCCTCTAGAAATATGTTCACCTTCTTAAACAGATTTACATGCCCTCCGTCTATTGTTGTATCTGGCATTTCATTTCATACATCAAACAACTATACGAATATGCTAAATCAAGAGTCAGCTGGCATTATGGGATTATTCTGGCTCTGCAGCATGTCATTATATAACTGAGCAGTCAATCAGATAGTGATTTCAGTATTGTTACTCTTATTTTCAATAACGTTATTAACATCAATATCTTACCCAGTTTACAATCTTAGCTTTTTCGAATGAAACACACTCAATGAAACAAAAGACTAAGAAATTAAATTTTCTGTTAGCAACACCCTGTACTCTTCAACTCTATCTTTCCTGCCCAGTTTTTTGCTTTAATAAATCAAGATATTATTTCTAGTTGATCTATTTATACTTAATTCTTTTATTGGTACTCCTTGCTTCTGAAGGGCTCAAACCTGCAATGTACTGAGAATCTATTTCAAAAAAGCACTGAAATACACCACCAAGAATATAAAAAATTTCATTTCCTGCTATAAGACTACTCAGAAGCCTGACAATAGGCAGGTATTTAAATACTTTTTGGATCAGAGCCCTGAAGTTCAGTACCTTACAGCACTGAGCTCTGTATGCTTCACTGAATCACCTAAATTCATGATGACTTTAATCCAAACACAGGTTTCTCCCACACCTCTCCTTTTAAAAATCAACAAATCCTCCCTCACAAAGAATTCTTTATATGCTCCTGCACTTCTTTCTCAATCGTGTGTTATTAACAGAAGCAACAGTTCTGCTAGAGGGGAAGTTTTTCTCACAAAATTTTCCACCTGCTGAAACCCAAAAGAATTTATAAGTACATAAGAAAGGATCCTCAAAGGATATTTGATTAATATTCAACATCAGGGATTATCAGATAAATTTAGCTACATCTCTAATTCAGAAAACATCTTATTGCCCTCTATGCTGGCACACTCATTTGTGGCCGGGATTGTGTGATGTGATGCTGTCTCCACTGTACCTTCTTAGCCCTTCCAGTAACACCAAAGACCTTCAAATTCCTCAGTCTACCTGAAACTACTTATTTTCCAGGAGTGCAGAATAGCTCTTAAAAACTCTCAGAAAGTATACTTGCTCCAAGATAACACTAAAAAACTTCACTCATTTACAACCTGTCCCTCCTGGTCCTGGCCTCTCTAGGAGCTCCCACCTGCTTCTGGTTCTCCAGCTTCTCCTCCAGGCAGTTCCCACTTCTTTTTCCTTTCTTGTTCTTAAATGGCTTACTTTCTCTCAGACAGTTAGTAAGTGAGCTCACCCTCTATCTGGGCTTACTCACCAACTCTACCACAGTGGCTACTAGACTCCCAAGTCTAGTAGACTCAAAAGAATATCTCAAACACATTTCTCTGATCAGGAAGGCATATCACATTTACTTCGACTGTACTTACTCCTCATCTGTGTTGCTCTCTGCACACATTTTATCCAGCATTTACTGGCAGAACTGACTAACAAAATAACCACTTGCAAGAAATTACTACAAAATATTGATGGAAGATGAAATAGAAGCTTACAAACCAAATTCTCTACAGTGAAAATCTGTTTCTGTCAGTTATGACAAACAAAACAGGAACCAGAAGTTCTCTCTGGCTTCACTGTCAAACAATAACTGATCAACAGAGCTCCAGTCAGGAACAGAACACAACAAATATAACAGCAAACCATCCATTAGCCAGTAACTACTGGTTGAAAATCATAACCAAGTACTTCTGAAAGTCAGATAAAGTTTAGATAGGTCTAAATTGCTTGTGGATATTCATAAAGTACAATCTGAATAATTGTTCAAAAATTACTTTAGCCCTATCTCTTGCAACAGAGAAAAATACCACACTAGAAACATTAAAAGCATAAAATAATTATATTCTGCTTATTTCAAAACATTTCAGGTTTTGTGTATACTTATTTTCTTAATACAACAGGCTTAAAATAAAGGAAAACATATTCTAATCCAATTAACCTGACTGCTCCATTCTCTCTTTCTCTGTAAGTCAAATGTCCAGTTTATTACATATGCAGATTCACAAATAAACTTCCTCACTCAGCTACTTTATTCCTACAGTGTCTCAAAGTTCATTTGTGTATTTATAAATCAGCTTATTTTTACTGCAGGATGTAAAAGGAGTTGTGTACACATGCATAAATTGCCGAGTTTAGCTATTTTAATAACAACTATTGACATGAAGAACGGAAGATCTTAGCTCTAGAGTACAACAGTTAGAGCTAGATGTAAGACATGTAGATAAGAGTTGAAGCTGATATAAAAATAGTCATTTGGATACAAAACATAACCAACATTTTAAATGTGTTCAATATGTAGTACCTCAATTAGGAAGAATGGACTCTGTTAAAGAGATGCTACCTTTTAATGTTGGTCCAGAAAATACACATGAAAAAAGTGAAATTATTTCATTTTTATCAATCATTCTGCTCACACTATAAAATTAAGCCTGTTTGTTGATTTAAATAAAAAAACTAAACCAATTTAAAAAACCCAAACAAACCCCAAATCTTAAGTTTTTCTATGATGTAATTTTAGTGAAAACAAAGCTCTTAGGAGCATTTTATCTTCATAATTTTCTGTTTCTTCAAATGTAATTTTTAAAGAAAAAAGTTCTACCAGATATAGCCTATTGAATTAATCAAATAATGCAATTAAGGGTTCCTTTGAACTGATATAGCTATGAATGAAACTAACTTTTGAATATGCCAAAAATTTTTTAACAAATACTTTACATTGATTGAGAACACCTCTTAAAAACATTGCAGGAAAATTGTTCATAAAATTATGATGTAAAAAATTCTATGTTTTTAATTGATTTAATAAAAAATGAAAACAGGAGGGCAACAGGTTTTTAACTGACTGATTATATTAGAAGGCTCAGAAACATAATAGTAAAGAGAACAAAAGTTATTTCTATTTGTATCTGTAGGAGAAATGATATCTAATCCAAGAATACTATTTGCATTTTAAGTCATAATTTTTGCATGCTTGAGAATATTGACAGTATGTGACTTGCACATGATTTTGCATGAAATGCAGTCTTTTTCCACATTATTTTGCATAGGGAAAAAGACTTTATTTTTATAGGCTATATAGGACCTTCATTCTGCTACATAGCTATATTAAACCCCTGTGTGAACTTATCTTTTCCCTACTATCTCCAAATTACATTATATTCTGAGTGAATATGAATTCCACTGTGTTTTACAATTTAATCTTAAGAATCTAAGTAAAATTAACTAAATTAATATACAATCATAGAAAAAAATACTAATCAAATCTCACATTATGATGAACTTACCATCTTACACACCTAGGTTTTTTATTAACTTTCAGCAACATTCAAAGTATTACACTACACTGAATGCTTAGAGAGAATTCATCTGTGAAATCTAATGACAGGTTATGGCTACTGTGGGAACATTTTCATTACCAGACTTTTGAGCACTTAATATCACACTTCAATGGTAAATGATTATCTTTTATGTCTAATTTCACTTTGATTTTATTTTTTAAAAAGATTATTTTTAAGAGCTATAAAAGGATAGCTCTAAACCCATGACATTTTCTGTGGCATATTAATGATATTTCCAGTTTCAGAAAATCCTCTTCTTAGAGCCCAGCTCAACACATGAATTCACTCCCTGAGACCAGCAAGGGATTCAGCTTGCCTCTCACCACTAGAGCTGTAGGTTAAAACCAGTTTTATTGCAGGCAAATTTACAAGGGACTTCCTGACCACTGCACTCTGTCCTCTCCAATGCACTACAAAATCAAGATAAATTCACTGCTTGGATTTAGCAGTAAGAGTTTACGTAGTTTGGTTTGGTTTTTTTTTTACCTCCACACAGTTTGTCAAGGAAACTTTTCTCCTTATTTTAGATATTGCAATTTACATCTAACTTAGTCCTGTTGGGAGAGGGGAGAGGGGGAAGGCCATGTCCCACTTAATTTCTATTTTAAGGCTAATATGCAGGCCTACACAGGAATTAAGTGGCACACAATCTTTAGCTGCCCCTCTGCTTATGGATGAATTTTATCCATTATGAGCATCCCAAGCAAACAATACTAGCAACTAAGTATATAATGTGAGAAATATCTAAGTGCTCTTGACAAGCTCTGCTCTTGACAGCTTGCACTTACAGGAAAAATTGAAGAGTTTAGTGTAGAGATTTCAGTAGAAAAAAAATGTGTGTGGGAGTCTTTATGCTATGTGGTTTCAAATCACTTCAAGTAAAAAAATATATATATTCAGTTTCCAATTTGGGTCTCATCTGGTAAAAAATTTCAAACCACTTTTAAGACTTGATCCAAAGAATGCTGAGTATATAACAATGAAGTATGTTTCAGAATGGAGGATTGAAACTAGGGGATTGGACTAGATGATCTTTCCAATCAGGGACTGGACTAGGTGATCTTTTGAGGTCCCTTCCAATCCCTAACATTCTGTGATTCTGTGATCGAAACTCAGCATTTCCTATTTTTCTTCTTCCCTTCAGATGAGTGACAAATTGCTATGGATAGCCAAATGCTCACACTTTCATGTTCTTTGACCCAACTGAGGCTTGTCGTTAGTCAATGCAAAGTAGAATAGCTTCAATAAAATGGAAAGAATGTTCCCTTCACCTTCAATTACTTCAGGGAAACATATTCATTCGGAAGAAGTGAGTTAACTTCCCTCAGGCAGAAGAGAGAATTAGTATCTGGGAGGCTTTGATTTATTAATGTGCTAAGCCCTGAACTCTTGGGTAAAAGGCCAGCACTGTTGACATGTCAACTTCAGTACTTTGAGCAGAACCTGAAGTTTATGTGATTTAAGAAAGCCAAGCAAGGCAGCTTGCAGATGAGACTGCCACAGAGAGGTCTTGCAAATCTCAGTAGGGCTTCCTCGACATGAAGAATAGCACTGTGAATAGGTTATTCACATTTTATCAAAACAGTTTTATAAATATGCCCTATGCTCTGGCAAAGCTTCAAACTTGTATCTATAGGGCACGTAAATTGGTTTGGCTTCACTAACAAGCTGGGTCCAAAACTGCATTAATTTAAAAAAGTTTTAGGATTAAATGTTGACCACATTCAAGTCAAAGACAACACACTCTTTGACCTTAAGTTACAAAAAAATAATTCAAAAATAAAGCCTGTTCATTGTAGTATCAATGCAAAAAAAAACCTTAGAAGGAAAGCAATTTAATGGTGAAAGCAGAAAGGGTGAAAAAACATTGTCTCTTGCTACAGAAAAAAAAAAAAGAAAAAAGAGGAAGTTAGAATAATTTCTGTGACTTTTCAGTATTTCACTCAGAAAGTATGTGTTTATTGGCATCCCTGGAAAATTAATCTTTAGGTGAAACCAATCAAAATTATTGCAGATAATACTTTAGCCTCCAAATATTTGAGCAAGAACATGTGAAAATACTATGTTCTAAAGAAAACCTCAACACAGAATTCTCATTTTTGCTAGAATATAGAACCTATAATAATAGGCTGTTCAATGAGTCATTTTAGACAAGCAAAGAAATGATGAAAAATTTTTTAAAAATCATCACAATTATGAGAGATGTAGGCCAAATATACTTCTTGATTATTCTGAAATGTTTAAAT